CCATTGCCAGTGTGTGAATGTGTGTGTGAATGGGTGAATGACTGAATGTAGTGTAAAGCGCTTTGGGGTCCTTAGGGACTGAGTAAAGCGCTATACAAATGCAGGCCATTTACCATTTACCATATTTTTCAGGTTGGCTGGGCCATCGGCTCTGGAAATATCATCAAATACATGAAAACCATCCATCAGAACTCTGTTTATCACTGCGCAACAGCCGCTCAAGTAAATGCATACTTTCTAAACGAATACTAGTACTACTTTAGTAGGGCTGAGAAATTATAGCTATTTGAGCAGATCAATTTTGTTTTGTTTCTTTCCCCTTGTGCTTTATCTAATCAGAATTGCTTGATCAGGTTAAATTTTAAAACTCTCTCCATCCTTCTTCCTTACCACCAGGAGGCAGTCGCTCATGGATTTGAACGGGAATATGAGCTGTTTGGGACTCCTGAGAGCTACTTCCAGCAGCTTCCCGCGATGCTGCACCACAAAAGAAAGAAGCTGGCCTCATGTCTGGAGAGCGTGGGGCTGCAGCCTATCATGCCAGAGGGAGGCTACTTCATGGTCACAGACATCTCCTCAGTCAGTGAGTGATGAACAGTCATCTTTGTTTTATACATCTTTCATCATCTGAAATCAGTATTTACCTTTTTGTCTTTTTTCCTCAAACAGAGGTGGACCTGAATGACCCGAGCACAAAGGATGAATTGTATGACTTCAGATTTGTTAAATGGCTCATTAAAGAAAAGGTAAAAATGTAAGGTTTTATTAAGTTTGTTGATGTTTGTTTGGAGTAAATGTGGGGATATAAAATGATTGATCTGGGCACATGTTGTAAGGTCATCCTTAAGATGATCATGGGTGGAGGGTGGATAGAGAAGATGGAGCAAAGATCGAGGTAAAAAAAAAAATCCTGAAATGTGAAAAACAGTACTGAAGATTCAAACTCTGAAATGTAAACCTACACCACATTAATGAGACATAACTAATCAAGTCCTTCTGCTTAGACCAGCGATTAAAGTGTGTGGTACATATCTGAAGGGTGGGTAACACAGACATAAAGAGTTGCATACTTTTTGATGAACGCTCCCTGAGCTTGGCGAATTCTAGAAAACTGTTGGGGATAGATGCCCCCCATGTAAGGAAACTGATGATGAACAGGACAAACTTTCAGCATCGACTGGAGACAGTTGATGCTAAGCGGTCAAAATCTGATCCATTGCCACAGATTTTGATTTTTCTTTGTTGTTTTTTCCTGCCTTTTCTATCTGCAGGGTTTAGCAACAATCCCCGTCTCTGCGTTCTACAGTCCAGAGCACAGCAAGGAGTTTGACAAGTACATCCGATTCTGTTTTGTTAAGGTAAGCCTGACCTTTCTTACTAAAGTGGTACATCTCAAGAAACAACTTCCTGTTTGTCAGTCTTTCTGTCTCTGCTTTCTCCTCACAGGAGGACTCCACGCTGGATGCTGCAGAGGCCATCTTGAGAAAGTGGAGTCAGAAAGAGTAAACTTACCACTGATTTGAGGCTTTATCCGTCCACCCAGATTCTTCCAGTCTGCTTAAACTCAGGTGTTGACCTGATCCAGCTAAAGGTGCACGGACAGAGTAACCTCATCAACACTTATGTTGAGCTCCTGCCAGATAAAGGAATTTGTTTAGAGAGCATTTTTATTTTGTTGTCATTTCTAGATGGATGTGAGTATTGCTGAACCAGGCTTAATGTATTAGTCACAAATAGTCAGTCTAATTTAATCATCAGTGATCAGTGACGAGAAGAGTCAATAGATTCCTGATCACCTTTTGATTGCTAATACTAATTGTTCTCACATGAGCCATTGGCTGAGGAAGACTGGGAACATGAGCCACCCTTTCACTCTGTAACAGCCACTCTCCCACTACAAGTGGGCACCAGAGCTGGTACTTCCACTTGCTTCATTTGGCAGTGCTTTATACTGGATGAATAAAACCATCCATTTTCTGTCTCTGGCTGGAATTAAACCAACAACTGTTGGTAAGGATTTATACAATGAAATAAATTCACTAATAGAAGGTCTCATTTTTTGCATTAAGAATTGAGGCGTATGAGTCTTGCACTAAAAATGGGAATTCTGTTTTCTGTGAGTAGATTTTTCTATTGATTGGATGTAACTGCCATCATTTTAAAGGCTGTTATTCATTTTAAATCAAAGGACTTTGGTGTGAAAATCTGACATTAGCACAAGAAACAAGAAGTGCTAGACAAGGGTAGAAAGAGTTGTGTGTGCTTTCAGATGATGATGATGATGATAATAATACCACTACTATTACTACTACTAATAATAATAATAATGATGTCAGGAGGGGTAGCACATAGAGCAGTATTAATTCAAAACAATAATGGTGGCATACTGTGACACGGCTATTAATTTGTCAGTTCATTAAAAATGTATTTCAAAGATATCAGTGTCTCACTTCTTGTTTTGTGGTTAAGGGTGCCTCCTGAATGTAAAACCATAAAACCAGTTATCTACCCATTTTTGAACTTTATATTAATATCAGCATAAAGCACTTACAATTTTATAATATACATGTTTTTTGCACTGTAAAGTGTTTTTCTTCTTCAGTAAGGTTTGTATGTACTGTGTTACCTTTGGTATTTATGCTGATTTTGTGCCTAAAGACACATTCTTAAATTGTTTCTTCAAAAGCACGGCATCATGCAGGACTCTGATTTTGCACATGCCACAGTAATTTGGGCTGAGCCTTGCCGTTACAGAAATAAGTGTTTTTAATACCGTGGCTTCTATTTATTACAAGCAAGTTTACACACATGTATAAATGAAGAAAATAGCATCTGAGCTATGGTTGTTTCCAACAAACAGTGACAAACCAGATGACTTGGCATCAAAATCAATACGGATCTCCTCTGGGATTATCGGTATGTTGTATCTGGTTCGGAACACTCTTTACCTGCAAAATTAACTAACATTGTTGAACAGCTGACTTACAAGGGGGGAAAGTACTTGTTTATGGAAAGTGGAGAGGTTAATTGGGAATTTCTGAATAATGTAGCTCCAAATGAAGATATGAGATTTCTGAGATGCTTTTTAATCCAGTTTATTTTTAATAGCAGTTTTAATAACAGCTTATTTAAATAGCTAGAATCAGTCAAATTTAAGACACCATTAGTTGCTAAGAGCTACAAATTTATGGATGTAAATTTTTATTTTTTTACCCCCACAGGAAATGATCTAATTTATCATTTTAAATGTTTTATATATTTTTTAAATATATATTATTTGTACAGAGAGTGGTGTTTTATAATTTATATAAGGTCAAAATTAAGGTGGTTGTAGGCAGTGACTGTAGCATGTATATGAGAAGAGCAACTGGATCGTCACGTGGTTGACTTCCCGGAAGTGGTTTGCGGGCAACGCAGAAGACGACCTGGAAGTAAAGACTGTTCACGTGTTGGTACTTCGACGTTTGAATATGTCTTCTAGCGTTGCAGTGAAGCGACCCAATCTTGGGTCTTCTCAGGTATTGTTACTGTTTGACAAAAAAAACAAAAAACACTGATGTGTGTCTTTATTTACACCCATTTTCTGTCCTTTGTTCGTGTTTGCAGCCAGTCGAGAAGGTGGACTGGAAGAAAAGGAAAGCGGAAAGTGAGTAAACAGCTAAGTAGCTGCATGTAGCTAACAGGTTTTTAGCTGCATGCCTGCTATATACTATACTGCTGTTTTGGACTTTAAAACAGAAAAAGAAAGAAAGAAAAAACGTTATTTTTGTGAGAATTAATGTGCATATCCATTTTAAGGTTTGTCATGTATTGACAACATGCTTAATGCAGATTTTTTGTTATTGATAAAAAAGCACATAACAATGTAGTAAGTCTCCTCGGCAGTCGAAAACCGGAAGAGGGAGTTTACTAAAACACAAGATAAATTATAGCATGTTCGTCTGATTTATTAATCAAAATACTTTGTTTTACAATATACAATTATAGTGGAAACATATATTCTGTATTTATATATACATTATGGACAAAACTGTTGGGCCATTTATTCAGCACCATTGCCAAAAGTGTAAATAACCAACCTGTTTTTGCAAACATTTGTGAAAGAACAGGATGTTTTAAAGACTTCCTAGATATCTTCCCTCCTAGAGGGTCAGCTGTGAGTGGTGTTATTGCAAAGTGGGAGCATTTAGGAACCACAGCCACTCACTTTTAAAGCTACAGAGTGGGGTCACCAGGTGCAGAGGTGCATACTGTGTAAAACAACACCACTGACCAAGTGACTGTGAAGTTTCAAACCATAAACATCAGTGTAAGCACTGTGCTGGGAACTTCCATGACCAATTAGGTCCTGTAAATGTAACCTATAGGTGGCCCAGTACTTCTGTCCAGATAATTAAGATTTAGGTATTCACAGTGATTATTTAGAAATTAACT